TGCCAAATCTCCTACATGAACCTATTCCATCCACTTTAACATTCACAGAATGCTTTATTTTCATCTTTCATACACCCTACAATCACATTATCCATATGGGATCAGAGCCAGTGGAGGTGCAGGTGTTATGCTATGTTTAAACTTCTAAAATGATTTTTTTTTTATTCAAATGATTTCTTCATTTGATTGCTAACTCACACATACTTTCATTCCTCCCATGAACACATTTTCCTTCTCCCCTGCATTCCAGAGCAAATGCTTGTGGTTTTTCTACATAAAAAGTGGAGAAACTGAGTTTTTACTCAAGCTTAGAGAGCTGTTTACACTTGAGACCAAATGTGGAAAACTTTCCATCAGAACAATTGCACACTGGACAGACGAAGCACAAAGCACAGAGATCAGCGGAGGCACTAACGTGTCCCTGGTATAAACGCCTTTGAGCTTCTTGCCAGTAAGTGAATAATGCGCTTTCATCAGCGCCAGCGCCAATCTGACTCTGCATTGGTCCACACATCACCATGCAGACAACAGTCTGTGCATCCAAAACACACATACAAGGAGAGGGAAGGAATGTTTTCTGGTCTTAAAACCAATTAAGAAATATTGTTTTTCCACAGAAAGGCATTTCGTTCACAGCAGTGCCCTTAACAACCCACATTTAGGGCTGGGTATCGTTCAAAAATTTTCTATACCGATACCTTGACTTCGATACCGGTTTCTGAACGATACTTTTTCAATAACAGTTTTATGAAATAAATTTGAACAAGATTAAAAAAAAAAAAACTTTGGTTTTATTTTTCAGTTTGTTTGTTTATGTTTATACAGACTCAAACTCATCTCCTGAGCCACTGCACAAAGGAACAAAATGTAACCAACACAAATCAGTGCAAATAGTTTTAATAAAGTTCAAATATAGGGATGCACCAAATGTTCGGCAAACGAAATTATTCGGCCGAAAATAGCACAAAAAAAAATCTCTTTTGGAGTTCGGCCGAATAAGGGTTCAAAGTCCAAAGCACGAGGAAAATCTGCGCTGAAACACTGCTACTCGTCAGTTGCTCAGTAACATTTTTGTGAGTTTTTTTAAAGGCATGTGACAATGTGATACGTGCGACAAACATCTTCCCAAATTCGTAATGAGAATCATTTATAAATCTGCATGCTGTTGTCAACAAAAAGCACTGAGATCTTCCTGTGTGTTTCTGTCAAAATAAAAGCCGAGAAAAAGCAACAACTTTTTCAACTGACATTATGGCATTTAAAATAAAATTATCCCAAACGTAACTGTGGCACGTGTGGCTGTGCTGCTCAGTCAGTGAACCGCTTCCATCGGCGCTGCTGCTGCAAAACACACTGTTGCTAACATGAAACATTTTTATGTGAGGCGCCGGTGCGATCGAACAGCTGAAACATAAAAAACTCAATTTTTGGAGTAAGATATAATCCGCAAGTGTTTACTTTTATTTTTGCACACTCACAATAAAAACAAGATTTGTGCTTTTGCAAAATAAAGCAAACAAACAGAATGCGCGTTGTCATCCTTTCCTTTCCGTGAACTTGTTTATGGAGCGCCGCGCCACACTTCTGTTTTAAATCTGTTAGCTTAATTATTTAAGTCAGATATATTTAGCTTTTTTTTTTTCTCTCTTCCACAATCGCTGTTCTGACTCTCAACATTACATGGCCAAAACACATTAGACAGCAATCGGAAGTTATTACAAACACTCGATGGTGATTTAAAGTGAGTAAAAGCAGAATATAAATCTTATTTATTGTCTTATGTAGCATGATGCTACAGTGTGCATGAATGGTCACGTAACACATGCTTTTGGTCGTGTAGTATGGACGGAGATTTTTTCTGAAACGCAGTGGAAATGCCAGTATGGACAAGGATCGTTTTTATTTTAAAACAAAAACGCACCAGTGTAAATGTAGCCTTACATATAAAGGGGGTTGGACGCTTTCACACTACAGCCTCACGTGTGAGCCCCATCTCTGTGTGTAACTGGTGTAAACCAGTAGGTGTGTTCGACTTGACGCTGTGCAGACCGATCGGTGTATGACTGTACCGCGAGAGCTATAGAAAGCAGACTGCTCCGTATGATTTCGAATCGCTCTCGGGGATGTCAAACACTGATCGATCCGCGTGGCGCCGCTTCTAGTCGAACACACCTAGTGCTGCAGGCTTATTGGCTCACTGACGTTGACAAGATTAACCCCATAGGTATCAAATTTTGGTACCGAACAACAAGACATTTTTCGATACTCGATGCTAGAGGCAATTCGGTCGGTGCCTAAAAAGTATCAGACTCGATACCTAGCCCTCACACATTAGTGCATTTCTACCATATCGTTACCTGAAACATTCACATCTGAAACACCTAGGCCTAAGAAATAATCCGCAAAAGTGTTTACTTTTATTTTTGCACACTCACAATAAAAACAAGATTTGTGCTTTTGCAAAATAAAGCAAACAAACAGAATGCGCGTTGTCATCCTTTCCTTTCCGTGAACTTGTTTATGGAGCGCCGCGCCACACTTCTGTTTTAAATCTGTTAGCTTAATTATTTAAGTCAGATATATTTAGCTTTTTTTTTTTCTCTCTTCCACAATCGCTGTTCTGACTCTCAACATTACATGGCCAAAACACATTAGACAGCAATCGGAAGTTATTACAAACACTCGATGGTGATTTAAAGTGAGTAAAAGCAGAATATAAATCTTATTTATTGTCTTATGTAGCATGATGCTACAGTGTGCATGAATGGTCACGTAACACATGCTTTTGGTCGTGTAGTATGGACGGAGATTTTTTCTGAAACGCAGTGGAAATGCCAGTATGGACAAGGATCGTTTTTATTTTAAAACAAAAACGCACCAGTGTAAATGTAGCCTTACATATAAAGGGGGTTGGACGCTTTCACACTACAGCCTCACGTGTGAGCCCCATCTCTGTGTGTAACTGGTGTAAACCAGTAGGTGTGTTCGACTTGACGCTGTGCAGACCGATCGGTGTATGACTGTACCGCGAGAGCTATAGAAAGCAGACTGCTCCGTATGATTTCGAATCGCTCTCGGGGATGTCAAACACTGATCGATCCGCGTGGCGCCGCTTCTAGTCGAACACACCTAGTGCTGCAGGCTTATTGGCTCACTGACGTTGACAAGATTAACCCCATAGGTATCAAATTTTGGTACCGAACAACAAGACATTTTTCGATACTCGATGCTAGAGGCAATTCGGTCGGTGCCTAAAAAGTATCAGACTCGATACCTAGCCCTCACACATTAGTGCATTTCTACCATATCGTTACCTGAAACATTCACATCTGAAACACCTCAGGGGTGTGTGTTGGTCAAACCCGAGAGTAAAACACTCAATTAGACACATGCCTCCAGGCCCCAGAAACAATCCTGCTGCACCTGAAGTCCTCAGACTTGAGCTGAGTAAATATGAGTTATGTTTCCCTTGTGGAGAACTGAACATTTTGCCAACCGCCATGACTGCAGAACTAAACTCTTTTTGGAAATCTACAAGAAACTCTAAACTCCAACACTCCTAAGGCAACATAGGAGAGAAAACAGAGAAAAACTTGAGAAATTGCTGGGTACTTGACCCCTAATACCTAATACAGCATAGTCCACAACCTGACCTTAACCTCTGAGCAGCATTCCACTGTGAACATACTTTGCAGCAAGGATGTAACCAAGACTGGGACAAATGTAACATTTTAAAGTCGTGATGAAACGGAAGAAGCCACAGATATTTTCTTTGGTATTCTGATGCAAATTCAAAAGAAACAGAATATAGAGCTTCTATCCATCAGTTGTTGATTGGATGAAGGCAGATCTGAAAGCAAGCTTGCAGTCGATGATACAAAAGGGGTTTTTGCGGACAAAATGATTGGAGAAATCTGGCATAAGTCACCAGAGAAAAGTCTGTTGTTTCATCAGAAGAACGAGTTATAACATTTTGATTCACACGGGTGAATTGTTCAAAGGTCAATAATATGCATTTAGACAACTGTAGCGAATCAGTTCATTCATGGGGAATTGTTCACAGACAACTTGGCACCCAGTATGTTTATTGGGTGAGGGGTCTGTGAACGTTTGTTAATCTAATGAATAATTGATTTGTTAAATCAAATGAAAAATGGTGTGTCTGATTGGTCCAGACGCTACAACAACAGATCTTTAAAAAAGGCATCCACAAAAAGACTCATTTTTTGTCCACAAAAATTAAAAGTGTTGACCATAAAGCCATTGAGATGGAACCACCTCATGACCCACATTATATTCTGTGCTGTTGTCTAGAAGTTTATTAAATTACTGCGCAAAATTTACTAAAAATTATTAAATAATTGGCATGAGTGCACATCTCCAGTAAAAAGAATGTCTTAGTTTATGTTGACTACAAGCATACCGGAATATTCCTATAGCTGAGAGACCTGTAAACCTATTTTACTGCCATTTATTTAATATTTTTTAGTAACTGAAAAAAAAATAGACCTTATGCAGAAAAATATGTGCATGTAAACACGATAAATGTTAATGATTATGCTCTGAATGAGAGGACAACCAAGTGTGTATATAAAACACAAAAAAACAGAATTCTCCCTTTTATCGCTTCTAGTAGGTAATTGTTAATAATAACATATGTTTAACATCTCACTACATCCAATTTAATCTACATCCTATCTGCTGAAATGCGGGAAGGAGACCTCAGGCTTCATTGCAGCTAATCTCATACAACTCATAGAGCACAATTCCTAAACAGAGAGAAGAGAAAATAAACAAACTGATGTGGAAAAATATAGTTGCATATTACCAGCCTCTCCCTACACACAGGGACTCCCGGGGGAATGGATAAATCATCGCCGTTATATACGTCATGGGCCAACTCAGCATTCCAAAAGCTGGTGCTCGCAGCTCACACACACACAAGCTGGGCTGGATATGAGTAGCGGCACGCGTGAGACATGCAAGCAGTGACAACTCACCATTTCTTTGTGCATTCCACCATGAGTTCCTGGTAGGAGGCGACAAACTGGAATTTGGAAGCATGTTTCCCAACACGCTGCAGTCTCTTCCACACTGAAGCCATGGTTTTGTCCTCTTTATAGAGCTGACAGTTTGTTTAAAATACCGTCGCGTTCTGACGCCACCCCCTCACAAATCCTTTCCTTGGAAAAGTTCTCAAAAGTATCCGTCCAAAATCAGCTTTTGTGCATTCACTGATGTTTAAGGGGTTTAAAATCAGGTAGAGGAAAGGAAAAAATACGTAGATCCCTTGCCATCAAAACATTAGTGTGGATGATCGCAGATCAGCATGATGGCACGACATGTTAAATCCACCGGGGTGATTGACAGCTCTCACAGAGCTCATTCCGTGCAGCAAATCCCTCAAAATAAACGTAAGCAGTGCATGGTAATCCAATATTCCTCATTTCCATGTGTCAATAAACCTACAGAGACAAAGAGGGAGGTGGTTAGATCTTGCACCAAAAGATATCCATTAACTCATATGTCAATCTTTGATTACCAAATTTCTTGAATTAAATATTTGTTAGTTTTAGCTTAATCATTTTACCAAAACCATCCCTAATTTAAGCACTGATGCATACCAGTAACAGAAAATTCCCTATCAGTTATCTGTGCAAGGCAATGGAAAGTGATGGTATCAGGAAGCAGAGATTTGGCTGACTTTGTATATCTGTGCAACCAAATTTCATAGTCAGTCAGATTATATCTTGTGGACCAGATACAAATATTCCAAAGACCCAATCTTAGTTTCCCTAATGGGATAATAAAGTTGAGTCCGAGTCTGACCCGGAAACATCTGATATTGTATATCAAAAGTTATTGTTGCATTTTATTTTGCACAAAAGGAAAACATTTTAGAATGCACATTGTTTCTATATATAACCAACACATTTAAATCATCAGTTTTATATTTATCCATTTTTGTTTCAAGCACTCGCAATTCTTCATAGGATTGTAGTTCTTTCCCTTATTAAAGGCTTTAAGTTCATAGTTTTTGTATCTTTTTTTTGTATGATTTTCAAATACTTTTTTTTTAATCAAAATTTGTAATGTTCTCATTCACCTCACAGGCAGCTGGATTGGTTCATGTTTTGTACTTTTTTTTTAATGAAACTTATTTTTTAATCCCTATGGGGAAAATTATTGAAAAAAACAAGGCTGATGAAAAAGTGGCCGTTCTAGCAAAAGGATGGCGCATAATAGATTTTGCCTAATAAAATCATGTTTTAATTAAAACTGTCATTTATATTTGTATTTTTAAAAAAGCTAAAAAGACACTTGAGGCTGTGAAGTACGTAGTCAGGCAGCTAAACAGTACTATACACCCTTTATTATATTGACAGTTGTGCCAATATTCAGTACAACAGCACGTTGTCTATTGTGTTATTCCATAAATATCAAGAAAGCTGACAACCAGTTTGTTTGTTTGTCTTTCTTTGTTCCATGCTGTCAGACTTTACAGAGCAGACTTTAAAAGTTCAAAAGTTGTCCTGGACCTGGACTGTCTAAAATAATTCATCCATTTCTTTTAATTATGCTAACAACTGTTGCTGTTCAAACATTCACGAGATGACAGTTTTATATTGATGCAAGACTTCTTCAAACAACACACATCCTCATGCACATACAACAAACTGATAAACTGTCAGTGCTGTCAAACTGACTAAAGAGACTTAAGATAGACGTTCTCAGGTTACTAGTTGAAGATCCTCTTTAAAGTCCAGTGTTGTTTAGCAAGACAGCTTAAGAGATCATCAATAATCGATAATTAAACCCCTGCAACTACAGAGACCCTTTAACAGATATTATTCATAAACCTCCTGGTCTTGGTCGCATTCCTGCACTCACCGCGTGAATAATGCAGCAGCAGTAGCGGCTGAACGTGCCCGATGCGGCGTGAGGCGCGAGGCTGCATTCAGTCCGCTAGCGAGCTAAAGTGCCGCTCCGGCTGGAGATTCCCATAGAGCTCCGCTAGCAGCCTAGGCTAATCTTAGCCAGGCAGGCTATCCCAGGGTAAAGAGCGGCAGCGAAATCCCCAGGATACTCAGTCGTATACCGGCGACGACCAAACTGAGGAGCTTGAAGCCGAGAAGCAGTGGCGGTTTTCCCGGTCGAAAGGAGGAATTTCCAGCGCTGTTTTCGTATTCACACACAAACTCAACGCATCAAGACTCCATCATTTTCCTCCCCAATCCCACATTCAGTCAAACATCTGTGCGGAGTCGCCGAGAAACGCCCCCATGCGTCTCTCATTGGCTGGTGGGCTGCAAATATTTACATATTCATGACACTTCTTAATGCTTTTGTTGCCAGTGAGCGCTCCTATTGGTCGATAGAGACATCTTTCAGAGATCTTTAACCCGCCTGTGTGAGCAAGCACACTGAGTTGAGTAGGAATATAAGTAATGTAAACCTTCTTCTATGCGTTAAGGTACAAAGTGTATTAAATATGAGTGTTGTGACTCAGAGAAAGAAGAAAATTGCAAAAATCTGATAGGCTGAGGCAATTCAGTTATCTGGAATATTTATTATTATGGTAGGACAATCTGTGAATAATTAAAAATGCTAAAACAAAACAAAAACTATGAAAGAGATATTTTAGAACTATGATTATGAAAGAGATAGTTTAGAACAATATATTTGTAATTTAATGTAATATTTATTGTAATTTTTATTTTATTTTATTTTATTTGAAAGCAAAACAGTCAGGTCAGTAATGTGCTTTGAAATAAAAAAAACTGGGAAAATGAAGTGAGAGAAACATGGAGAGATTTTGTGAAAGAAACACTCTGATTCCACGGCCAAATGGCAAACAGTTCATTACAGTACATTTTTTCTGTCTGAAGAATCTGAAGAAAAAACACATAGGCCATTTTCTAACCAGATTAGATTTTTTATTTAAATTTAAATGTCAAATGTATTTTTTATTTTTTTTTAAGTTTTAAACTAAAGTTCTGTGGTTGGGGGGTTTACCTTCATTATATTCTTTGTTTATCAGAAGCCTTTTGATGCCTGCACATCAGTCCTTAATATTACAGATAGACACACCACGTGTCAAAAATGCTTTGAAGCTGCCAGTATTCTTGAAAAGACACATATCTGTGAGTATTTGGAGGGAGGTATCTCATACAGATTCTTTCTGCCACTTCCCCAGCATCTCGATCCTTATCTTTTGAGTGCATGAGACAGGTTTCCTCCCTGATGAACGGGTGTGTGCATGTGTATCGGAAGATGTGAAGATGTGGGCACACAGGGCAGAGGGGGGGTGTGATCTCTACTCAAAAGCAGTCACAGTGTCTGTCTACAGAGAGTTGTAACATCATGACTGCAGTGTCACACTGCCAAGAGCACTTTGAAAGACAGCCAATCAGACACCTTTGCCATGTGTCAGACAGAGACTCAAGGAGTCTGTAGATCAGATCCTGCTTTTTATGGGCTGCCAACACTTTAGGACATGTGTTAGGCAACATTAAACCTCTCAGGCCACTGCTCTGGAAGCTCAGGAGTCTTATAACAGATAAGATGTTAAAGAAGCTCTGAATTTATCAGTTTTTTTCTATGATAAAATAGGCAGTTTGTTTAAAAAAAAAAGTAGTGATTTTACAATACAATAACAATACATTACTACTAAAAAATGACCTTTTTCCACAATTTAATCAATGAAATCAAGACATGAGTCTGCAGTTTGTCTGTGTATCGACTTTACTTTCTTTCTCTTCCTGTGTGTGTCCCAGCGGTAATGTGAGTGTGTTTGCTGGCAGTGAGATAAGCACGCTTACTGTAAGTGAATCACTCCCTCATGCACTGGCACGGACACATGGGCATAGCCGTGGGTGAAGACCAAGAAAGGAGAGAACAGTGATGTCACACACAATGGAAGATTTGGAGCCTCAGTCTGCAGAACGAGACAATGACATCACAGAAGAAACTATAGAACGGTAATGCGCCTCATTATGGCTAATTAAATGCTCTATACAGTTTCTTCTGAACCCTATGTGCATCATTATGATGAAATCAATGTTCAACAATGAGATTCAGTGTCCTTAATGAGACAGTTTGAAGTGTGTATGGTTAACATCTGTTGATCAGGTCAGTATTACATATAACTGTGTTCATTTGTGTATGTGTGTGTGTGCACTGAATTTTAATCTCTGTGTTGAAGACAGAGAAGTTGTTGGGTAGACGATTCTGTAAATGACTCCAGCTGAATGTTCTCTTCAAGTAAACACAAGGAAGTGCAGAGTGCAACCTCAACATACAAATTATAGTTTATTCAACAATATTTACAGAAGAGTATAAACATACAAGAGTTTGACAACATCACAAACATTAGCAAAGATGTGAACTCTAGAAGTATAAAGTTAATGCTAAATATTGTGATATTTGACTTTATGGAGGATCACTTAATAGTGATTAGGCATGCAAGGCTATGCCATCCCTAGTAAAAAAAAAAAGAATATATTTAAAATACATTTATTTCAAACTAAGTATAGTTAAAATCTATTAACATATTTACTGGCATATCGCTCAAGACTTACTGATATAAAAATTATAATTAAACTTTATTTGGAGTACTACATGTGCGCAATGCACATTTCTTAATTTTAAGCCTAAAATGTGTTTTAAGGTCACTATTGATGAGAGTTATATGATCTTTGATAATAAAAGTCTTTAAATGCAAGATATTTAAAGTGTATCTGAAGTATACTTGTAATAGTTCCACTTTAGCACAATCAAATATACTTCAGTATATCTTTAGTTGAACTTCAGCACTACCTCCACACAATTAAAGTACACAAAATTAGTTGTTCCAATTGAGCACACTTTAAGTATACCAGTTTAGTATACTAAAAGTACAATTGAAGGGTATTAAGTACATAAATATGTAAATTTATTTGTAGTATACTTAGTATGAAATACGTTTATTTCGAATACATTTTAGTATATTTATTTTTCACTAGGGATCATAAGCAAACATGTAAAAAAAAAAAAAAAAACAGTAATTACTGACATATGTGACCCTGGAGCACAAAACCAGACTTAAGTCACTGGGGTATATTTGTAGCAATATCCAAAAATACATTGTATGGGTCAAAATTATTGATTTTTCTTTTATGCCAAAAATCATTAGGATATTAAGTAAAGATCATGTTCCATGAAGATATTTTGTAAATTTCCTACTGTAAATATATTAAAACTTAATTTTTGATTAGTAATATGCATTGCTAAGAACTTCATATGGACAACTTTAAAGGCGATTTTCTCAATATTTTGATTTTTTTTGCACCCTCAGATTCCAGATTTTCAAATAGTTGTATCTCAGCCAAATATTGTCCTATCCTAACAAACCATACATCAATGGAAAGCTATTTATTCAGCTTTCAGATGATGTATAAACCTCAATTTCGAAAAATTGACCCTTATGACTGGTTTTGTGGTCCAGGGTCACATAATATGTACTTTTATCTCTGACTACATTAGAATGAATATGCTACCTACTGGTGACTTATGAATATTTTTTAATCATCCACCAAATTATCATCTTTTCCTTACATTGCTGTAAGTTAATAACAATGCCACCTCAGCAAATTAGTTCTGTCAGGACCACTATCGTCAAAATGATTGACACTTAGCATTCAGTTTGGATTTGGCAGAATGGTTCTGTTCTGGGCAAAAAAACTCCCTGCCCATCCATGCAGCCTGTAAGCAGAATAAACACGATGAGAGGTAATGGGCCAGAGGGGAAGAAGGGTGTCATGCCGCTCTGTTTGGTCAACGGTGCTCTTGTTTGGTGTTTACAGAGTCTGCTGACCTTCTGGGAGGTTATCTTTGGGTGGACATTTAGCCTCCTTGCGTCTACTGTGGCACAAACACAACACACAAAAGGAGTCGGATGATCAGGAAATGACATCAGGAGCATCCTAAGCTGGAGCTAACAAACAGTCTGTCGTCTGTGGTTGCATATAGCATGTGAGCCTCCCCGGAGTGGACTGTGGGCAGCGCCATATGTAATGGAAACCAGACTAATCATACAAACAACAAAAACAAGAGCAGGAAAAAAGCTGAATGTCATTAAAAGATGCATGAGTGTCTATGCTGGGAAAGGAACTGTTTATGCTCTCATTTCGTTCTAAGGGCAGCAGTTACATCTGTGGAGCACCAGAAACTATGTGAAAACACAGTTGTTCTTGTTTTTCCTCTCAACGTGGCACATTTGCAGGCACGCCGTACCTCATACTGTGAAAAGTAATTTGTGCATGGAAGGGGTCGTACCTGAGGCCCAATTATGTTATCAGAGACAATAGCGGCCACTGCGTAGAACTTGGAGTTCTTGGGCAAATTGCTCTACAGTGATTAAATTTTCTTGCCTATGATGACCAATTTCCTGTTAAAACAGGAAGTTAGGGCGGGACATAAGCAATAGCTAGTGCTTTTCAGGTAGAATTAGTGGAGGAGATGTTCTCAGTCTAAAGACAAAAATCTATATGCCACACAAACTCAAGTCATATGTTTTGCCCCATTTTCCTGGAACAGAAAGAGTGTAAATTGGTAATACTTTATTTTGATGGTCCCCTTGACTATAAACCCAACATGCATTCTACTGACTACCCAAGTAAAAAAGTAATATATTTAAAACACATTTCATACCAAGTATAGTTCAAATGTATTAGCATATTTACTAACATATCGCTCAAGTCATAACAAATATAAAAATTATAATTAAACTTTATTTGGAGTACTACATGTGCGCAATGCACATTTCTTAATTTTAAGCCTAAAATGTGTTTTAAGGTCACTATTGATGAGAGTTATATGATCTTTGATAATAAAAGTCTTTAAATGCAAGATATTTAAAGTGTATCTGAAGTATACTTGTAATAGTTCCACTTTAGCACAATCAAATATACTTCAGTATATCTTTAGTTGAACTTCAGCACTACCTCCACACAATTAAAGTACACAAAATTAGTTGTTCCAATTGAGCACACTTTAAGTATACCAGTTTAGTATACTAAAAGTACAATTGAAGGGTATTAAGTACATAAATATGTAAATTTATTTGTAGTATACTTAGTATGAAATACGTTTATTTCGAATACATTTTAGTATATTTATTTTTCACTAGGGATCATAAGCAAACATGTAAAAAAAAAAAAAAAAACAGTAATTACTGACATATGTGACCCTGGAGCACAAAACCAGACTTAAGT